ATGGTTCAACATATGAAAATCCGTCAATGTAATACACAATATAAACAGGCTGAAAGAAAAAAACCACATGATCATCTCATTGGTTGCTGAAAAAGCCTTTGACAAAATCCCTTGAATACAAAGGTCCAAGAGAGATCAGGAATACAAAGACAATACCTAGACATAATAAAGGCAATTTACAGCAAGCAGACAACCAACATCAAATTAAATGGAGAGAAACTCAAATCTATTTCACTAAAATCAGGAACAAGACAAGGCTGTCCACTCTCCCCATTTTTATTCAATATGGTACTTGAAATTCTAGCTAGAGCAATAAGACAACAAAAGTAGATCAAAGGGATACAAATTGGAAAGGAAAGTGTCAAACTTTCACTATTTGCAGATGCTATGATAGTATACATAAGTGACCCCAAAAACTCTACCAGGGAACTCCTACAGCTTATAAACTCCTTCAGTAAAGTGGCAGGATACAAGATCAACTCAAAAAAATCAGTAGCCCTCCTATACACAAATGATAAAAGGGCTGAGAAAGAAGTCAGAGAAACATCACCCTTTACAATAGCCACAAATAATATAAAATACCTTGGGGTAACTCTAACTAAACAAGAGAAAGACCTGTATGACAAGAACTTTAAGTCTCTGAAGAAAGAAATTGAAGATATCAGAAAATGGAAAGATCTCCCATGCTCATGGATAGGTAAGATTAACATAGTAAAAATGGCAATCGTAACAAAAGCAATCTATAGATTCAATGCAAACCCCATTAAAATCTCGACACAATTCTTCACAGACTTGGAAAGAACAATACTCAACTTCATATGGAAAAACAAAAGACCCAGGATAGCTAAACAATCCTGTACAGTATAGCAACCTCTGGAGGCATCACAATCCCTGACCTCAAGCTCTACTATAGAGCTATATTAATAAAAACAGGTTGGTACTGGCATTAACAACAGACATATGGACCAATGGAATCAAACTGAAGACCCTGACATTAATCTGCACACTTATAAGCACCTTATTTTTGACAAAGAAGTCAAAACTGGAAAAAAGAAAACATCTTCAATAAATGGTGCTGGCATAACTGGATGTCAACATGTATAAGATTGCAAATAGATCCCTATCTGTCACCATGCACAAAACTCGAGTCCAAGTGGATCAAAGACCTCAACATAAATCCTGTTACTCTGAACTTGATAAAAGAGAAAATAGTCTTGAACACATTGGCACAGGAGACTATTTCCTTAGTGTAAAACCAGTAGCACAGACACTGGGAGCATCAATTAATAAATGGGACCTCCTAAAACTGAGAAGCTTTTATAGGGCAAAGGATACAATGAATAAAAAAAAATGACAGCCTACAGAATGGGAAAAGATCTTCACCAACCCCACATCTGACAGAGGACTGATCTCTAAAATATATAAAGAAATCAAGAAACTAAACATCAAAATACTGAACAATCCAATTAAAAAAATGAGCTACAGAGCTAAATAGAGAATTCTCAACAGAAGAATCTTAAATGGTCGAAAGACATTTAAGGAATTGCTCTACATCCTTAGTCATCATGAAATGCAAACCCAAACAACTCTGAGATACCATCTTACACCTGTCAGAATGGCTATGATCAAAAACACTGATGACAGTTTATGTTGGAGAGGATGTGGAGCAAGGGGAACACTCCTCCACTGTTGGTGGGAGTGCAAACTTGTATAGCCACTTTGGAAATCAGTATGGCGATTTCTTAGAAAATTGGGAATCAATCTACCACAAGAACCAGATATACCACTCTTGGGCATTTACACAAGGAATGCTCAATCATACCACAGGGATACATGCTCAGCTATGTTCATAGCACCAATATTTGTAATAGCCAGGGACACCTTGCACAGCCTTGGTGCAGGGAGGAGAGGCTTGGACTGCCTCAGCTGACTCTGCTGACTCCTCTTGGGAGATTTTGCCTTAAAAGAGGTGGGAATGGGAGGAGAATTGGAGGGGAAAGGCTGGGAGGCATGGGGAGGGAGGAGAGGGGGAATCTGTGGTTGTTATGTAAAATGAATAGAAAATTTCTTAATAATAATAAAAAGCTACCTGGATGTGTATTTAAAATTATCACAACGGTTAGCTGACTCTGTAGATAGTTCAAAGAGTGAGTCACAGAGATAGTGATGAAATGATAACTGGTCAGATAATAAAATGAAACTGATCAAATTTACAAGTGTCTTTCAGATTCAAAAGGCCAAGTTATATTAAAGATTCAGCTAAAATTATTTGCAGCTGTTTGATAAAAAAACACATATATCAAATATGTACTTCCGTGACTACCAATAGCCAGAGTTAAATGATCATTCATTCCCACAATAGTCTATTTCTGGCCTCAAACTTCTGACTTAAATTGATATACTTGACTTTTTTAGCTAGAAAAATAATCAAGCACTTCAATCCAACATAAAGAAAAAGAGGAAACACCTGTACTTTGGAAATTATTGAAGAATGAAAATTAAATATTAATGGAAGAGACTTTCTGGTAGAATTAGAAAACATAATTTGTTGTGGGGTGGGGAATGAGACCATGTGTCTTAGGTTTACATTGCTGTGAGGAAACACCATGACCAACGCAAGTTGGGGAAGAATGGGTTTATTTGGCTTATATTTCCAAACAATAGTCCACCACTGAAGGAAATCAGAACAGGAACTCAAACAGTGCTGCAACTTGGAGGCAGGAGTTGATGCAAAGTCCATGGAGAAATGCTGCTTACTGGCTTGCTCAACATGGCTTGCTCAGCCTGCTTTCTTATAGAACCCAGGACCTCCCTTCCATTTATGGCAACACCCACAATGGGCCATAACCTCACCTATCAATCACTAATTAAGAAAATGCCTTACAGCTGGATCTAAGTGGAAGCATTTTCTCAATTGAGATTCCTTCCTTTCACATAACTCTATCCTGTGCCAAGTTGGCATAAAACAAGCTACCACACAATAATTCAAAATGTTCTCAGACACATGAGAAACAGTTAGTCATATTTTGCTGTACAAATTTCAAAGTATGGCAGTGTAGAATTTTAAATTTAGCTATGTGTGCAGTCATGTATTATAGCTTTTTCATCTCTCCTGTATTTTTTATGACCAGAGAAGAGCATACTCCGGGTTAAGTGTGTGCAAAACACATACTTGAAGCTTTCATATTTTTGAAAGGTATAGCTAGAGTTTTCCTGCCTTGCCCACAGTCAGGACAAATCTCTGTCACCCGCCAGTCCCACAGCCACCAAGACCCAACCAAGCAAACACAGAGACTTATATTGCTTACAAACTGTATGGCCGTGGCAGGCCTCCTGTTAACTGTTCCTATATCTTAAAGTAACGCATTTCTAC